CCGGAGGCACCCGCTGGCCGGTGGGCGACGAAGCGAGGAGCCCCGGTGGTCTGCCGGCGAGAGACTAGCCCTGGCCCAGAGCGTGGAGGGCTTCTTGGAGGAAGGGTCGGCTGCCTGCCCACCCCTCCCCCCAGCGCCTGAGCCCTGGGAGCTCATCCTCCCACTCCCACCCCCACCCCCTCGTCCGTCCTGGTTTCAAAAGGCCGGATATCAGGTGCGGGGCGCCGAAAGGATCGGCCCCCTGGGTCAGGCTCAGCTTCCTTCAGCCCCTGCAGTCCCCAGAGTCCACCGGCAGCTTCCTCCACCCGACCCTCAGCTGAGGTTCAGCCCAGTGGTTCTGCTCTGGCTCGGTCCCCTAAGTCCAAGTTAGGGGGTTGCACTTGGCACCAAGAAGTCCCAGAGCACTTGGGGGCCCCGCAGGAGTCCTTTGTACTGGGACACTTTCATCCTTGTAGGATTTCTTTTGCTAGCAGGACGGGACCCTCTTCCCTCTTTAGCCTCCCCCGCCCCCACACATGGCAAAATAAGTGGATACTGTAGCCCTTTGGGGAGCTGGGCCTGATGCGTGGACGCACTCGCGCAAAGTCAACAGCAGCTGCAGTCCACAGCCTGCGGTCCGACTTTGAGCTGTCTGGCTGCCAGCAGCCAAGGTGAGAAGTTTGAAACCACCAGCTGCTCTGTGTGAGAAAGGGGAGGCTTTGCACTCCCATAAAGTGTTACAGTTTCAGAAACCCACGGGGAGCGTTCTGACCTGCCCTGTAAGGTCGCCGTGAGTCAGAAACTGACTCCACAGCGGCGTGGAGTTAGTTGAAGTGTGTCTTCCCCTCTTCCCCTCCCTCCCCAAGAGGGAGGAAGCTTCCAGAAGTGCTTTACATCCTCCCCTGGGGCAATTGTGGAGTGCCCTCTAGGTGGGTAGGAAGGACCATCAGCGTGCCCCTCCCCCCTCCCTCCTCCTTCTGGGTTTGGCTAAGTAGCTTCCCTTCCCGTCTTTCCTTGTCCGCCACCCCAAATTATGTTGCCTGCCTTTAGGGGTCCGCTATGAGGGTAATGTGGTCTCCTGACCACCAAACCCCAGCCCGGCCATTGAGTGGATTCTGATCCGCGTGGTAACCCCATGATGGAGTGCAGAGCCGAAAGCTCCTCCGGGCTTGCTCTGCTGTGGTCGGTTGGCCAGGCCTTTCTTCTGTGGGACGTGCGCACTCTGCCGACCTTTAGGAGCCGCCAAGCACAGAGCACAGACTACTTGCATGACCAAGGCTCACTCTTGATCCCCTGCCAGGGATGCTAATGCTCTTTCTCCTCCCTTGTCCTGGACGCTTTCATTCCAAGGGCTGAGTCGGCCTTGAGATGGCAGTGAGAGTTAACCCCACAGCCATCAATCCCATTCCAAGGCACAGCCACACTCTGTGGGGCTTCCCTGGCCGTCAGTCTTTATGGCAGCAGACAGCCTCCCCTGTCTCCTGCGGAGCTGCTAATGGGTTTGAAATGCTGGCCTTAGCATTTAGCTTTAACCCTCAGACCCTCCAGGCCTGCTTAAGTGAGCACCTATTATGTGATTATCCTCGGCGCTAAATCCTGGGGAAATGAAGTTGATTAACAAAGTCTGTCTGGGAGGAAGATGACCTTTGAGTTCATCCAGTCCACCAACATTTCTGGTGGCGCAGGGGTTACGAGTTGGGCTGCCCTCCGCATGATGGGCAGTTTGAAACCACCAGCAGCTCCTTGGGAGAAAGACTGGGCCTTCTATTCCGGCCAACAGTTCCGGTGTTGGAAACCCCTCCGGAGGCTGGGAGTGTGGAGTTTGATCTTTGTGCCAGGAGCCCTCATGGTACGGTAAGCGTTGGATTGCTACCTGCAAGGTTGGGGTTCAAATTCCTCAGCCACTCAGTGGGAGAAAGTGGAGCTTGTCTGCTCCTGTAAAGATTGACAGGCAGCAGAGTGGCTATGAGTTGGAACTCCTGCAAAGGCACTGAGTCAGGCCAACACACAGCAGGCACCATGAGGAAGAGTTCCCAGGGGACCCTGGATGCAGGGAGCCGCCTTTCCTGTTTTGAAGGCTAGGTGGGTACAAGTGTTGCTGACGTCACTCGTTGCCCTGTGCCTGCGCACAGTGGGCCATCAACCAGGATTGCGTGAATGAATGCGTACCCCCTTTTCAGGACTCACGTCATCGGTTCAGGCATTAGCACTTCCCAGCCATCAACAGTGGCATGGAGAGCAAATGTCTTTATTATAAGAAAAACATGGTGGAAGCCACGCAGTAAAAGACATGACCGTCCTCTTAACTGCTAGCTGTTGGAGAGAGACCAGCGCGTCTGGAGGACTGTGGAGAAGAAGGTGCCTGTTCATTGAGAGGGCCAGTCACCGTTCAGACCCAGCCAATCGAATCATCCAGATACGGAAGCCCAGTGAGGCCACCTCCTTCCATTTCCAAGAGAAGCCAGAAATCCCGATTGGTATGGGAAATTACCAATTTTTAACTTGTTGGCTCAGATTTTAATAAAGAACACAAGGTGAGTCACACAACACTTATCTGTGGTCAGATTTCGCCCCTGGCTGCCTGGGGGTTGTGGGTGGGTGTGGGTGGGGTGATCTATGGGTTATGGGCAGCTCCAGAGAGTAACGCTGTGTACGGCTTTGGAAAGACAGTAGGACCCCCTGGTCAGCTCAGCACTGTGCCCAGTGCTCCTTAAGAGGGCAGTTACAGTAACCCACCCCCCACTCCCGCATGGCCCCCAGTTACATTTCCATTTTCCACAGGGCGACCGACTGTCTTCCAAAATAGTAATCTCACGGTACATCGCGCAATCAAGATGCCTTGATAGCTACTGGTGGTTCAAAAGTGACGTTGGGAACAAAGAAGAAAGATCAATTGCTGGAAAATAGAGCCTTAATGATAGAAATTTGAAAGAGCAACAACTTACTCATTGCATAAATAACCTTTTTTTTTTCTGGAACAACGTAAGTAGCAGCTGTACATATGAACATTGCCATTGCTGGGTGGAACACAGGGTTATCAAACTGATTACATCTGTGGACAGAGATAAGCACCCTGGTGACCTAGTGGTTATGCTCTGGGCTGTTTAACCACAAGGTCAGCAGTTTGAATCCACCACCGCTACGCGGGAGAAAGACGTGGCTTTTCACTCCTCTAAAGAGTTTTTGTTAGTTGCCATTGCGTCAGTTCCGACTCGAAGCGACGGGAGGTGCGATACAATGAAATACTGCCTGGTCCTGGCGCAGTCCCACAGTTCTCCCCTTGCTGAAGCCCATCATTGCAGCCATGGCGCCACGCCATCTCGCTGAAGGCTTCCTCTCGCGCGCCGCCCCTTCACGGGACCAAGCCTGCTCCTGCTCCAGCAACCCGTCTCTTCTGACAACGTGTCCACGACATGTGAGGGGAAGTCTCGCCATCCTTGCCTCTAGGGAGCACTCTGGCCGTCCTTCCAAGGCAGGTTTGCTTGTCCACGGTCCTTCTGCTATTCCTCACCAGCACCAGAATTCCAGTGCATCATTCTTCTTCCGTCTACCTTATCGTCACACGCAGGTGAGGCCACGGAGAATTCCCTGGCTTGGGTCAGGTGCACGCTAGTCCTCAAGGTCACACCCTTGCTTTCAATATCTAAAAGAGGCCTCGTGCAGCAGATTTACCCCGGGCAATACATCTTGCCGTCTCTGGGTGCTGCTTCTGTGAGCAACGATGGGAAGGCCCTTGACAACGTCGGTCTTTGCTCCATTCACCGTGATGCCACCTCATATGTCACACCTCCCAAGTTCCTATCGGTAGCAGCTGGCTATCCTCACCTGGAGTCAAGTGGAGGTCCCACAGGCCCAACCCCGCTCACGGCACCGTGGCCGGACTCCACTCTGAGAGCAGCCCTTCCACAGCCCAGGGCCCTCCTCCGGCACGGTCTCCCGCACGATTCTGCTTCCGTTCCTTAGGACGTCGGGATCTGGCGGTCTTTCCACGCAGTGCGGGAGGTAGGTTTTCAGCGGCTCCTTCCTCCAAAGCGGGGAGGCGTTCTTCTTCGTTTGTCTGTTCTTAGCCTGAAACGCAGCGTTCACTTGGGTGGCCCTGCTGGCATTTGGAATACCAGCGACATTGCTTCCAGCTTTACAGCGGCACACAAGCCACTGCAGTAGGACCAACTGACAGACAGGTGGGGGTGTGAAGAGTTAGTCTCTGGCCGTGATGAGTGCACCGCTCTTCGCGGTGTGACTGGACTCTTGTATGATATGTCAGTTAAACGCCAGTAAGACTATTGGAAGGAAAAAAAAGCCCCAGTCTGGGAAATCTACCAGGGCAGTTCAGCTCTGTCCTGTGGGGTCCCTGTGAGTCACAGCGGACTCAATGACGGTGAGGTGGTATTGTAATTATTCGGTGGAAAGACATGATGGAGAAGCTCAATGTCGCGACTAGACTCGGCCAGTGGCCAACTGCGGAACTAACCACCCAAAGAGAACGCGTCCGTGTTCAAACATTTCAGGAGATCGGATATGATCGGGAACCAACCGTGCTGAAGGGAAGACGTACAAACTGCCCTCAGCCTGGACAGCAAAACAAAGCGAAGACCAATTACGATGTTTCAACAAACAGACACGATGCTGCAAGCTCTCAGTCATGTGTGCCAAGCAATTTGGAAGCTGGCTCCTTGAGCCACGGACGGGAAGAGATGCCCACTGGTGCCCATTCCAAAGAAAGGTAACCCAGGAGAACGCCGACGTGACTGGTCGCCACCACAGGTGTCCGTGTAAAGTGAAAAATTGCTGAAGATCGTTAAAATTCGGTTCCCTCAGTTTCAACAGGAGCACATGAACTTCAGCCTGATTCGGTAGAGGAGGTGGTCCGAGGGATATTGCTGGTGAGCGAGGGGTCCTGGCTGGAAGCAGAGGGCACCAGAACGATGCTTCCCTGTGGTTTCACGGCTAAACAAAGGCACGCGTCATAACAAACTTTGGAGAACGGAACAAGGAATGGAAACGAGACCGCTTGTGGTGCTTGTGTGGAACCTGCGCACAGACCCCGGACAGAGCGCAGGGCTTAAGCTCAGGGAAGGTGTGTGTCCGGGCTGTCTCTTCTTTACCATGGTTATTTCATCGGAAGCAATGATTTGAGAATGCGGGCTCTGTGAAAAAGAACTGGACCATCCGGACTGGAGGGGGGCTCGTGAACACCCTGCGGTAGACAGGACCGGAAACGGTGACTGATGAAGACCACAGCCTTCAGGTTGGGCGAGATTCCCAACCGGACCAGTGACCACCGTCCTGATTTTGGGGAGACTGGGAGGTTGTCGAGGATTACGTGTTACTCAGGTCCACAATCAATGCCCAAAGAAGCAGCAGTCAAGAAACCAAAGGGGAACCCCCCCTTTTTTGGGGGGATAGAACTTTTCAGATACTTAAGAAAAAAATAAAGAGTAGGACCCACCCCC